TGGCATAAACTTCCTTAACTGGTTTCGTAATTTGAGAATTGTTCTCAAACAGGAAAGGAATGAATATATCATTGAGGAACCTATTCCTGATGAACCGGAAGCTAATGCTTCAAAAGTTGAAAAAGGCAAATTCAAGAAACATATGGATGATATGTTAGATGTTGGATGTCTAATGTTTGCCACCATTACTCCTGAGCTTCAGAAGCAACATGAGGACATGGTTGCATATGAGATGATTCAAAATCTCAAAGAAATATATGAAGGGCAAGCACATCAAGAGAGATATAAGACCTCTAAAGCTCTATTTCAATGCAAAATGGCAGAGGGAACTCCTGTAGGAGCTCATGTCATCAAGATGATGGGCTGCATCCAAACATTGGAAAAGCTGGGATTTCCTCTCAAAGATGAATTGGCTACCGATGTTATCCTACAATCATTGCCATATAGCTTTAGACAATTTGTCCTTAATTTCAACATGAATGAAATTAACAAAACTTTTCCATAGTAACTTGGCATGTTACGAACTGCTGAAAGTAACATGAAAAAGGTTGGACCTAAGCTCATTCTGATGGTCCACAAGGACAAAGGAAAGGGAAAGAAAAAAGTAGTGGCAAAGTCTAAGGGAAATGGTAAGACCAAACCAAAAGGGAAAAATACATTGAAACCCAAAGGGGGAGTTAGCAAAGAAGGAAAATGTTTCCATTGAGATAAGACCAGACACTGGAAGAGAAACAACCTTGTTTACCTTGAAGAGGTCAAGAAAGAAAAAGCAAACGGAACTTTTGTTTCAGGTATTTATGTTATTGATGTTAATTTGTCAACATCTACTTCTTGGGTATTAGATACCAGTTATGGTTCTTATATTTGTACTTCTGTACAAGGACTGCAAAAGAGAAGGAATCTGGCTAAAGGAGACATGGACCTACGAGTGGGAAATGGAGCAAGAGTTGTTGCATTATCTATAGGGACATATGTTTTATATTTGCCTAGTGGACTTGATTTAAATTTAGAGGATTGTTATTATGTGCCTAGTTTGATTAAGAACATTATTTCTATTTCTTGTTTGGACAAGATTGGCTTTGAGATTATTATTAAGAATAATTGTTGTTCTTTTTATATTGCTTGTTGGGAAAAATGACTAATGCTCATTTTAATAGTAAAGGTGAGCGAGCAAGTGATTTATTGGGGTTAATACATAGTGATGTATGTGGACCAATGAATACACAAGCCAGAGGTGGATTCCATTACTTCATTACTTTTACCGATGACTTCAGTCGATATGGGTATATTTATCTTATTCGCCATAAATCTGAAGCCCATGAAAAATTTAAGGAATTTAAAAATGAAGTACAAAATCAAATAGGAAAGAGTATTAAGGCACTTCAATCAGATCGAGGTGGAGAATACTTAAGCATATAGTTTGATGAACTCCTAAAAGAATGTGGGATTGTCTCACAGCTTACACCACCTGGTACACCACAGTGGAATGGAGTTTCTGAAAGAAGGAATCGAACACTGTTAGACATGGTTTGATCGATGATGAGTTATAATGATCTTCTAACTTCTTTTTGGGGACATGCACTTGAAATAACCACTTTCACACTAAATCGTGTTTCATCTAAATCTGTTCAAAAGACACCATACAAGATATGGACTGGGAAACGTCCCAATATGTCTTTTATAAAGATTTGGGGTTGTGAAGCTTATGTAAAACATCATATGTCTACAAAGCTTGAACCTAAATCTCATAAGTGCATATTTGTTGGATATCCTAAAGAAACTAAGGGATACTATTTCTTCAACCCTAACGAGAACAAAGTGTTTGTTGCTCGAACAAGAGTTTTTCTCGAAAGAGAATTTCTCTCAAAGAAAAGGAAGGTAGAAATATTGAACTTGGAGAAGTTCAAGAACAACAAATAAATGAACCTGAAGTTGAACATGTTTCACAATTTGTTGAGGAGCATTTAACAGATTTTGAAACATAATCACTGCGTAGATCCACAAGAGAACATCGTGCACTTGAGAGATTTAGATTTCTCGTTACGACACATGGAGATGTTCTTCTTATGGATCAAGATGAGCCCATGACTTATCAAGAGGTAGTGTCTAGTCCAGACTCTGAGAAATGGCTTGAAGCCATGAGATCTGAGATGGATTCCATGTCAGTAAACCAAGTACGGACTTTTGACAAGTTCATGGTGTAGAATATGACGAAACATTCTCCCGTGTAGCTATGTTTAAGTCCATCCGAATCCTGCTCGCAATAGCTGCATTCCATGATTATGAAATCTGGCAAATGGACGTCAAAATCGCCTTCCTTAATGGAAAACATGAAGAGGATGTTATATGACACAACCAGAAGGTTTTGTTTTTCCAGGAAATACTGGAAAGGTTTGTAAGCTACAGAGGTCTATTTATGGACTAAAGCAAGCTTCTCGAAGTTGGAATCTTCGTTTCAATGATGCAATCAAAGAGTTTGGTTTTATAAAAAATGAAGAGGAGCCTTGTGTTTATAAGAAGGCTAGTGGGAGTATTGTTTCTTTCCTAATCTTGTATGTAAACGACATACTCATCATAGGAAATGATATACTTACTTTACAGTCAGTTAAGACTTGGTTAATTAGTTGTTTTTCTATGAAAGATCTGGGTGAGGCAGCGTATATCTTAGGAGTTAAGATCTATAGAGATAGATCAAGACGACTTCTAGGTCTGAGTCAAAGTACATATATAGACAAAGTGCTGAAAAGGTTCAGTATGGAAGAATCCAAGAAAGGATTTTTGCCTATGAGACATGGCATTTCTCTTTCTAAGGAAATGTGTCTTTCAACTCCACTAGAAAGAGAATGGATGAATAAGATTCCATATGCTTTGTCTATTGGTTTTATAATGTATGCCATGATATGTACTCGACCAGATGTATCATATGCTCTAAGCATGACAAGTCGGTATCAAGCAAACCCTGGTGAAAATCACTGGGTTGCGGTTAAAAATATCCTTAAGTACTTAAGAAGAACTACGGTTAAATTTCTTGTCTATGGAGGGGAGGAAGAGCTTCGTATAAAAGGTTATACTGATGTCAGCTTCTAAACTGACAAGGATGACTCACGATCGCAATCGGGTTTTTTTGTTTTGTCTTAATGGAGGTGCTGTGAGCTGGAAAAGTTCGAAGCAAGACACAATAGATGATTCTACAGCAGAGGCTGAATACATTGCAGCCAGTGAAACATCAGAAGAGGTTGTTTGGATCAAGAAGTTCATATCGAAATTAGGGGTTGTTCCCAGCATATCAGATGTTGTAGAACTCTGTTGTGACAATAATGGAGCCATTGCACAAGCAAAGGAACCAAGATCTCATCAACGATCCAAACATATTCTTAGGCACTTTCATCTCATTCGAGAGATCATTGATCAAGGAGATGTGGAAATATGTAGAGTACACTTGGATGATAACATTGTTGATCCCTTGACGAAGCCTCTTACACAACAGAGGCATGATCGTCACACTGAGTCACTCGATATTAGATATGTGAGTGATTGGTCTTAGTGCTAGTGGGAGATTGTTAGAGTATGCCCAAAGACCAATCATATGATGATTGTAATAATACTTTTATTTACCGATTTTATTGAATAAAGGAATTGCCGCTATTATTTTATTTATATATATATGTGTTTAACATAAACTGAAAGATAATAAAGTCCATATAATGACATAATTGTTTTTATTAAAAGATCCCTAGTCAAGTATTATTATGGGCATGGACAATAATAATACGCTTAAGACTAACATGTTATTGATTGATGACAATGAGTTGTTATTGACATAGAGATGTCAGAATTGATACATGATTATATTGTTAGAGAACAATGTATTGGATTGACCGACCATGAGCATATGTCTTGGATTATTATGTGACAGTCATAACATTGCTCATGGTGATGACTATATGTATGATCCTCAGACTTGAGATCAATACTATCCCAACATATCTTGTTGTATGTTTTGATGCAGCTAAACAAGCTCCGTAACTGGTTGCTCTATAAAGAATATTATTGAATATATCTTAATATATGTAGGATTTGTCCTTCCTACATAATAGGAAATATATCACAGGCCACTTGATTGAGTAAGACTAGAAACGCATGGCCATGCTCGAATAAGTTGATATGAGATGTCATAAACTATTCGTTAATTAAAGTCTACTCTATATATCAAGAAACAATAGATGGGCTATACAAGTGTGACTATTCCAAGACTTGTGCCTATTATATATATAAAGGACATAAGGAGTAATACATAAAAGAGTAATCACCAAGATGATATGTCGAATCATATTTTCTTGTAACTTAGATGACAATGATATATTGCTAGATGTCACTCATTGTATGTAATATTAGAATTGTTCTAATAATTACTGCTAACGTTACAAGAACCTACAATGTCACACCTTAGGATTGAAATGAGCAAAGATGTACAATTGTCGTACGTTACTAAAATATATATCTAGAGTTAATTAAATATATGTTTTAATAATTCTGAATATTTAATTTTAATTAATTAATTATATATTTAATTAATTTGAAATAATAAAATCCCTAATATGATTAGGGTAACTTGAATATAAGAGGATTATTAAATTCCAATTAATTAAATATATATTTAATTAATTTGAAATAATAAAACCCTGATATGATTAGGGTAACTTGGCTATAAAAGGGTGTGTTAGGTCTAGCAGCCATTGAACAGCACAGACTCAAAACCTTCAGCCGTTTCTCTCAAAAGAGTGTTGGGGAAAACAAAGATTGCTCTCAATCAGGTGAATTGAGTAGAGGCCGAGATGTTATTTCATTAAGATTCGAACCGATCTACACAACCAGTATTCATTGTTGTTCTTGTTGTTTTTCAAGGAACCCACTGTAAGTATTCACATCTCTTTCTCCCGATTTCAGTTTTTCGTACTTGGATCGCTCATGAGACCATCGAGTTTTGTTTCCGCTGCGCCATGGGGTGCGCTGAAAGTCCCAACACATGTATGTCCCCCAATTCGATTATGCCACCTCCCCTAGCTGTACCCCTTATCCAGTCTATTGTAGCACCTCAGGAGTCTCTGGTCGAGAGGCTTCACCGTTATTGGACGACTGATTTCTATGGATCTATAGATGATGATCCCATCTTCATGGATCAGTGGAATCAATAGACACTATATACCTTAGTTAGTTGTACTTTACTCCCAAGGGTAAGTTGGAATACTTTACCGCCTTTCTGAAAGGTGACGTAATTGATGAATGGGAGACCATAGAGTTGGTGATGGAGTCTAAATTTGATGTGATTTTCAGCATGAATTGGCTTACCATAGAGGTGACGTAATTGATTGGTGGGAGACTATAGAGCTTAAAGGTGAGGTGTTCTTAGCTAACTTCATAGAGCTAACATTTGGGGAGTTCGATGTGATCTTGGGCATGGATTGGCTTGCCGAGCATGACACAAGTTTTAGGTGCAAGAAGTGGCAACTTAAACTTTACAAGAATGATGGGACCAAATTAATGATAACCAATGGGAGTTCGGGTTACACTACCAAAGTTATTTAAGTGATAAGGGCATAAAGGTTTTTAAGTCAGGGGTGTGAAGCCTTCTTGGCACATGTTGTGGATACGCGGGTTTTTGTTCTAACACTTGAGGATATTTATACCGTCCGTGAATACTCTGATGTGTTCTCGGAGGAGTTATTGGGGTTATCACCTGACCGTGAGATCAAATTCAGCATTGAGGATTTGTCAGGTTCAGCTCCAGTGTCCATTGCACCCTATTGTATGGTACCGACAGATTTGAAGGAATTAAAGAACCAAATTCAAGAGTTATTGGATAAGGGCTTCATTTGATCGAGTGTTTCACCTTGGGGAGCATCGATCCTCTTTGTCAAGAAAATAATGGATCGATGAGGATGTGCATCGATTACTGAACAAGCTGACTATCAAGAATCGCTACCCTCTCTCTTAGAATGATGATATGTTTGACCAATTTAAGGGCGTATGTGTATTTTTTAAGATATATTTAAGGTCAGGGTATTATCAGTTGAAGGTTAAGGATGATTATATAGCTAATACAACTTTCAGAATAAGGTACAACCATTACAAGTTCCTCGTGATGCCATTTGGACTCACCGATAAGTTGGCGGCATTCATGGATTTAATGAGTCATCTTTTCCATCTACTTGTAGTGGTTTTCATCGAATACATTCTCGTGTACTATCGATATAAGGAAGAGCATGATCAGTACCTCCGTATTGTTTTGCAGACGCTTAGATAACGTTAATTATATACCAAGTTTGGGAAGTATAAATTTTGGTTGACCGAAGTGGCATTTTTGGGTCACGTTGTAGCAGTCGATGGAATTTTGTTAGTCCCCCAAAAGATCAAGGCAGTGTTAGAGTGGGAATCGCCTAAGAACATCGTCGAGGTGCTCAATTTCGTATGCCTTGTAGGGTATTACCGTTGTTTCATAAGGGTTTCTCCATGATTACTGTAATATCCCAAATATCAAATTAGGGACTTTATTGAAATGATTTAAAATATAAGGAAAATTTTTGATTAAATGATAAAAGATGGAAAAGATTTGGATTAATGTATTAGACTAAATTGTAACAAGGGATGGTTTAGAGGGCATTTGAGTCCTTTAAAGAAAAATGAATTTAAAATTCTTATTTTATAATATATTAAAGGTAAGGGAAAAAAGGGAAAGTATATATCAACAAAAGCACTTTCCTCTTGTTCTTCTTCTTTCACGTGACAAGCCTCCTCCATAGCTTCGAAAGGTAAGCTTCAATTGATTATTTTTCTTGTTGATTATGAGTTGCTTCTACAACCTTAAGTGGTATAGAAGCTTAAAGAAGCATTAAATGAGATGAAAACTAAGAAATGGTGGAACTAATGAAGATTTTAGAAAATGAGTTTTGAAATGATATGTTAGTATAGTGGTGTTTATTGATGAGTATTATTAGTTTTGACTTGTCAAAGTGGAAAATAAGAGATTAGAAGCATTGGTTGAGTTTAAAAACAAATTAGAAAATTTGGTGTGATTCTTAGAATACAATGATCATGAATGGTACTGATGTTTTAAGTATTAAAATGAAGAAATGTTAGTTTGGATAGTTAAAGAATAGTTTTATAGTATATTATGGGGTAAATACAATTAAATTTGACCCCATTTATGTAAAAATCTGGTGGAAACCTGGAAAATATGGGAAAGGGTATCGATAATGATAGAACAATATTGATACTATAGCCTAAGATGGATGAATTAGCTGTGTAGTATTGATACTGATTGAATCAGTATTGATTCCATGGTAAGGGGTATTGATACCAAGTAACATCGAACCTAAAATCGGTATCGATACTGTAAGGGGGTATTGGTACAATAGTAGGGTAGTATCGATACCATGGTAAGGGTATCGATACCAGGAAACATTGAAGTTAAAAGTGGTATCGATACTAAAAGGAGATATCGGTACCATAGTGTAGAAATACTACATTTTATTAGCGGGGACTATCAAGTGAGTATTTTAATATAAGTATGATATATGATGAAGACTCAATTTGGTATGCTTTAAATATATATACGTTAAAAATGGTGATTATGATATCTTTATATGTATGGAAAGAATACCAAAATTAAAATGCATGAAAGGATGCATTTAGGCATGAACGAATGCCATAAGTAAAATGCATGAAAGGATGCATTAAGGCATGAACGAATGCCATAATTAAAATGCATGAAATGATGCATTAAGGCATGAACGGATTCCATAAGTAAAATGTATAAAATGATGCATTAAGGCATGGATGGATGCCATAATTAAAATGCATAAAAATGATGCATTAAGACATGAACGATTGCCATAACTAAAATCATAAAAGGATTCATTAAGGCATGAAAGGATGCCAATACTGTAATTCATGAAAGGATGCAGTAAAACATAAATGGATGTGTTAATACATGAAAAATAGACAAAATAGAAGTAAATGAACTAAAAAGAGGTATGTAGGGCATACTGAAGATTGTTATAAGGATAATATGACTAAGATTTGGTCATGAAATGAATGACTTAACTAGTTCTATGGTTGTGCTAAATTAATTGAAGACAAATAACTATGAGATACTTATGTATCCAATAATGTTCTTTATTATAATATATATATATATATATATATATCATGAGGTAATGTTAACGTGTGTTGTCTTTCATGCGTAGGAAAAAGTAAAGGTTAACCAAGTAAGGAGTGCTTTTGTAGCTATGGTGGTAATCAACTAAGGTGGACTCATACGTGACACCAAGACAATCTTGTTTATTTTGGAAAACTTTGTTGGCATGTAATCAAGACTTTGGAAATGTTTTAAAATTTTAATTAAGTAGAACTTATAATAGTTGAATATAATGTTTAAGTTTTATTTAAAATATTATGCTTCTAGAACAGAAAAATGTCTATTCAGGATTTTCAAAAGAATAACTATTTTAGAGAGTAATGCGGCATCTATATCTTTTGTACGTAAGAGTATACGGGAGATGGGTGTTACATTCATTGGTATTAGAGCTACAGGTTTAGCCAGTTTTCGGGTGAAACCAATCTTGATTTTAAAGTAGAAAAGGGGATTACATGTCATAAAGATTGTCAATGTTACTGGTATGGTGTCATTTTAGCGAAATTGATGACACTCCTTACTAATTGAAATGTTATTATTATGTATGTTATTATAGATGTCAGAATCTTTGAATTATCGAAGAGTTGGGGGACAAGAGATTCAAGAAGGAGCTGATAATGAGAGTTATGAGGTAAATAGTAAACAGCCTATCCCCTCTGAAAATGCTAGTGCACCTGCACCATAAGGAATTCCGGTGCCTGAGCTTGGAACTTTTATGCAAGCCCTTGATGCTATAATAACTCGGTTTCAACCTTCCCCTACTCATCCGATACCGAGAATGTTAATTCCAAAAGAGCTAAAGAGCTTGGGAGCTCTAGAGTTTCGTGGAGAAGAGAGTGAGGGTCCCATGGAGGCCGATTTATGGTTGAATGATGTTTTATTGATGCTAGAAAGTCTTTAATGCACAAATTCAGAAAAGTTGGGAGGATTTGTCTCTTTACTTATAGGATCAACTCGAGTATGGTGGGCAAATACTACGATGTATGCACAACTGAAACAAGTGACTTGGTAATTTTTCCTGGAGGAATTCAAGAACAAGTACGTGGGTGAAAAATTCAAAAGGGTAATGTTCCCAAAGTTTCTTAATCTGAAGTAAGGTGATCGAGTTGTACATGAATTCGAGGTCGAGTACAACAAGTTTAGTCATTTTGCCACCAAAGTAGTTCCAAACGACAAGGCAAGACGTGATTGGTTCATAGAGGGTTTGAGACCTAAGCTGAAAGAGATGATGTTGGCCTTGAACTTGTAGAGTTTACAAGAAGTCATAAACAGAGCTAAAGCTATTGAAATAGCTAAGGAGGAAACGTTAGCTGCAGAGCAGAGTGTTCATACGGGGGAAAGAGTGGAAATGCCTTCTACTCCCCATCATGTTAAAAAAGGCAAGGGCTCGAGTTCCAGATTTTCAAATAGAGTAGTTTTCGACAGTTTCACAGAAAAATAGACAATATCAGTCTTTTGCTGCGAGCTCGGGTAGAGCAACAGGAGATAGAATTCCATGTCAGACATGTCAAAAGTTGCACAGTGGAGTATGTAGATTACTCAGTAGAGCTTGTTTCCAATATGGAGAGACTGGTCACTTTGCTCAAAACTGTCCTAAGAAATTTGGGGACAACTCGGTACAATCTAAAAGATCAGTAGCAGCCTCAAATAGAAGCAGAAGAAGGGGTAGATCTAGGGGATAAACAGATTAAGTGTAGAGATAAGAGACTCGGGGAGTCTCTAGAATTTATAACATTAAAACCAATGAGGATCGAGATGACACTGAGATCATAACATGTATTTTCCATCTTTTTAATGAACCTGTATTTGTTTTAGTTGACCCTGGTTCTACACATTCATACACTAGTACAAAGTTGTTTAAAACTAGAGGAATTCTTCTAGAACCAATTGTGAGTGAAATGATAGCGATAAATCCTATGGGTTACAGTGCGAGAGTAGTTAGAGTATGTAGAAAATGCCCTATAAAGATCCAGGGGATTGTGTTTTTGGCAAACCTAATGGAATTTCCCTTCAATGAATTTGAAATTATTCTAGACATGGATTGGTTGTCTTCACATTATGGATGGGTTTATTGTCGTAAGAAACGTTTGTTTTTAAAAGAATGCTGAAGGTTCATAAATTGTGGTAATCGGCGAAAGATCAAAATCCCCCTCAAATGTGATATCGGCTATGACTACGAAGAAGATGATGTCGAAAGGATGTATAGCTTTTCTAGCTAATGTGATAGGTACTAGAATTCCAAAGGTTATAATAAATGATATTTCCACAGTTAGAGAATTTTCGGATGTATTTCTTGAGGATTTACTGGGACTGCCTCCAGACCACGAGGTAGAATTCATGATTGAGATTTATCCAGGTACCAAACCTGTTTCTATGGCTCCGTATAGAATGGCTCCGACATAATTAAGAGAATTGAAAGCCCAACTGCAAGAATTACTTGATAAGGGGACCTAGTGTTTCTTCTTGGGGAGCACTTGTACTATTTGTGAAAAAAGAATGACGGGTCTATACGATTATGTATTGATTACCGTCAGTTAAATAAAGTCACAATAAAGAACAAATATCCTCTTCCGAAGATTGACGATTTGTTTGACCAATTGAAAGGAGCATATGTGCTTTATAAGATAGACTCAAGGAAGATGATATTTCAAAGACAACTTTTCGAACTTGGTATAGGCATTATGAATTTGTAGTGATGCCATTTGGTTTGACTATTGCACCAGCGGCATTCATGGACTTGACAAACTGAGTATTCCAATCCTATTTGGATAAATTCGTGGTGATATTCATAGATGATATCTTGGTATATTCCAATTCAAGAGAAGAACATGATGCTCATCTTCGAGTAGTTTTTCAGACGCTTCGCGAGAAGAAATTGTATGCCAAATTGTCAAAGTGTAAATTTTGGTTAGCCGAGGTTGTTTTTCTTGGTCACATAGTTTCTATAGAAGGCATATGAGTAGATCCAAGAAAGATTCAAGCTATAGTAGATTGGCAATCTCCAAGGAATGTTTATGAGGTTCAAAGTTTCTTGGGACTTGCCGGTTATTATAGACAGTTTGTGAAGAACTTATCAATGTTAGCTTTGCCTCTATCTAAGCTCTTACGAAATGATGTGCCTTTTGTTTGGACGGAAAAGTGTCAAGAAAGTTTTGAAGGGCTCAAGAGAATATTGATCGAGGCCTCTGTACTGGTACAACCTGAGTTTGGAAAAGATTATGTGGTGTTTAGTGATGCGTCTCATAATGGATTGGGTTGTGTGTTAATGCAAGATGGTAAGGTGGTGTCTTATGCATCCCGACAGTTGAAGAATCATGAGAAAAAACTATCTGACACATGATTTACAATTAGCAGCAGTTGTGTTTGCATTGAAAATTTGGCGTCATTATTTGTATGGGGAACAGTGCCATATCTATACTGATCACAAGAGTTTGAATTATTTATTTACTCATAGAGAATTGAACTTGAGGTAGAGAAGATGGATTGAGCTTATAAAGGATTATGATATAATTATTGATTATCATCCGGGGAAAGGCGAATGTGGTAGAAGATGCACTAAGCCGAAATATTTTTGCATATTTACTAGCTTTGGATGCGCAAATGTCATTGAAGGAAAATGGTGCCTTAATAGTAGAGCTTAAGCTAAATCTGATGTTCTTGGATCGGATTAAGGAGCTACAAATTCAAGATGAGAAATGCTTATTGAGAATGACACAAGTTGAAAAGAATGAGACTAAAGACTTCGAGGTAGGAGAGAATGGATGTCTTTATTATAAGGGAAGACTTTGTATTATGGGTAACGATGATTTGAAGAAAGATATTCTTTGTGAAGCACACTATAGCCCTTTGACGATGCATCCGGGAGGTAATATGTTGTATCAGGATTTAAAAAGTTGTTATTGGTGGCCTGGTATAAATAGAGCTATATCGGAGTTTTTGGTGAAATGTTTGACATGTCAGTAAGTGAAAGCTGAACATCAAGTACCCTCTGGAATACTTCAACCGATATCTATTCTAGAGTGGAAGTGGGAGCGAGTTACCATGGATTTTGTTTCGGGGCTACCTCTATCGCCAGGTAAAAAGGATTCCATATGGGTTATTGTACATCGATTAACCAAGACAGCTCATTTTATTCCAGTTCGGGTAGATTACTCGATGCATAAGTATCCAGAGTTGTACATTAAAGAAATAGTCAGATTGCATGGAGTGCCTATATCAATAGTGTCGGATAGAGATCCAAGGTTTACTTCAAGGTTCTGGAAGTCGTTGCATGAGGCATTGGGTACTCAATTGAGCTTCAGCACAACGTTTCATCCACAAACGGATGGGCAATCAAGGCGAGTCATCCAAATACTTGAAGGTATGCTAAGGGCATGTATGATTGAGTTTAAAGGATCATGGGAAAATTATTTGCCTTTAGCCGAATTTGCGTATAATAATAGTTACCATTCAAGCATTAAGATGGCCCCGTATGAAGCATTGTATGGGAGAAAGTGTCGTACACCATTAAATTAGTTTAAATTGAAAGATCTAGATATAATTGGGCCGGTGTTGATTAAAGAGATGGAAGAGAAAGTAAAGATTTTTCATGGGAATCTCAAAATAGCCTCCGATCGTCAGAAATCTTATGTTGATTTGAAAAGAAGAGAAATCAAATTCCAAGAGGGAGATAAAGTGTTTTTAAAGGTGTTACCTTGGAAGAAAATCTTGAGATTTGGGCGAAAAGGAAAGTTGAGTTTGAGATTTATTGGACCTTATGAAATTTTGAAAAGAGTCGAACCAATAGCATATCAGCTAGCCTTGCCTTCGTATATGGACAAAACTCATAATGTTTTTCATGTATCGATGCTCATAAGTGTTGATCCAATCCATCCCACGTCATAAATCTGGAGGAAATAGAGGTCAGTACAGATCTAACTTATGAAGAAGAACTAGTGCGGATCTTGACTAGAGAAATCAAAGAGTTGCGCAACAAACAAATTCCTTTAGTTAAGGTACTCTGGAAAAATCATAAGGTGGAAGAGGCTACTTGGGAAAGAGATGAGGACATGAGAATGCAGTTCCCCTACCTTTTTGCTTCAGGTATTTATTTAAATTCGAAGATGAATTTTTTTAAAGGGGGAGAATTATAATATCCCAAATAACGAATTAGGTACTTTATTAAAATGATTTAAAATATGAGGAAAATTTTCGATTAAATGATAAAAGATGAAAAGGATTTGGATTAGTTAATTAGACTAAATTGTAACAAGGGATGGTTTAGAGGGCATTTTAGTCCTTTAAAGGAAAATGATTTTAAAATTCTTATTTTATAAGATATTAAAGGTAAGGAAAAAATGGGAAGTAGATATCAACAAAAGCTATTTCCTTTTGTTTTTCTTCTTTCACGTGACAAGCCTCCTCCATAGCTCCCAAAGGTAAACTTCAACTGATTAGTTTTCTTGTTGATTATGAGTTGTTTCTACAACCTTAAGTGGTATAGAAGCTTAAGGAAGCATTAAATGAGATGAAAACTAAGAAATGGTGGAAATAATGGAGATTTTAGAAAATGGGTTTTGAAATGATATGTTAGTATAGTGGTGTTTATTGATGAATATTATTAGTTTTGACTTGTCAAAGTGGTAAATAAGAGATTAGAAGCATTGGTTGAGTTTAAAAACAAGTTAAAAAATTTGGTGTGATTCT